TGTTGGGGGCAATATGCTGACTCTGTAAACCACTTAGAGAGGGCTGAAAGTCCTATGAAGCGGTATATAAGTCTAACTGCTATTGCTATTGCTATTACATATGGTTAGATTTGTTTTCTTTTTTAATTTTGGGATTCTACAAAGCAACAGCTCAGGCTATGTAATTTAATTCCAGTACAATCAATATATCGTTTTTAGGTTGTAGAAACACTTTCATCCCAGAGATGTAATGAATTAAAACGAAAGGTTTAATTCTTAAAGTAAAATGAAAACAAATTTTGGGGAATCTGATTCGTTGCTCCTTTATTAAATAAACAACTGTATCGGTTTCCTTTGGGCAAAATCTCCTAAATAAAATCTTCCAAAATCTTAGTGCTGGGGTAGAGAAAGCTGGCTCCTACATATCCACCAACCTCATCTTTGATGGTGGAGCATAAAAAGACAATTTTCAATGAGATACTTAGTTTGGCAAGGCTGTGGGAGAAAAGACAAACCACCTTTATCAATTTGATATTTAACCTTTCTGTGGGGGGGCAAGTATAAAACTAGTTTTAGAATTAGCATAATGCAAGATGACAATGAGATTAACAAGGGAAAAGCACTTTCCCAATGCTCAGAAACAATCTTTCTAGGTGAGGATGGATGCTTGCATTTATAATCCCAACATGGTACTATAAAACATAACATAGGCATCGTTCCAGAGCATTCTCCAATGTCAATTACATTGTAATAAATGACTCTTTGCAGTCTGCAAACATCCAAAGGATTTGGAAAGCGAATTCTCTAATAGACTGGAGCTTATAGACGATTATTTTCTAATAGCCTGGGAGTTTGATGGCTCATCAGCTGAGCCATACAGGGAACCGGCCTTTAAAAAGGAACTGGGTTCCCCCTTTGAGAGCCTCTTCCTAACGATTTTCAGGTGTTCCTTGAGTGACAACCACAACTGAGCCCAAAATTTATGTTGCTAAGTGAAACGTGTTGAGCTGGTCCCATTGTACAACTTTCCTTCCCACGGTTGTTCAGCGAGTCCTTGCGTTTGTTAAGTTAGTGACCTGGTTGTTAAGTGCATCTGGATCTGAATCATGGATTTTTGCTTGTCGGAAGATCGCAAAAGCTGATCGCACGACCCCCCCCCCGGGGGGACACTGCAACCGTCATAAACAGGAACCAGCTGCCCAAGCATCTGAAGACGGAACTATTTGGCAGTTGCTGGATTGGAAGACTGGACTGACCCATTTAATGACCACGGGGATGGTGCAATGGTTATAAAGTGTGAAAAAAAAGGTCACAAGTCTCCTTTTTTCTGGAAGACTGAACTGACCCATTTAATGACCACGGGGGATGCTGCAATGGTTATAAAGTGTGAAAAAACAGTCACAAGTCTCCTTTTTTCTGGAAGACTGAACTGACCCATTTAATGACCACGGGGGATGCTGCAATGGTTATAAAGTGTGAAAAAAAGGTCATAAGTCTCCTTTTTTCTGGAAGACTGAACTGACCCATTTAATGACCACGGGGGATGCTGCAATGGTTATAAAGTGTGAAAAAAAGGTCATAAGTCGCCTTTTTTCTGGAAGACTGAACTGACCCATTTAATGACCACGGGGGATGCTGCAATGGTTATAAAGTGTGAAAAAACAGTCACAAGTCGCCTTTTTTCTGGAAGACTGAACTGACCCATTTAATGACCACGGGGATG